AAAATAATATTTTAACATACCGGTTCTTAGTCATTATTTATGAAATGACTATATTGGATATTGTTTTTTTTAAAAAATAATAATTTTTTTAATCTGATTAAACTTTAACTATGTTCCTTTCCACCATTGTTGGTCCGTCACCACCACCCACCTCCTCCCACACTGCCACGACCACCTCCCACAACACTACCACCTCCATTATCACCATACTGCCACCCACCACCACCACCATATACACCAATAATTATAAGTAGGCGAATTTAAAGATGTATTCTTAATCATGATAGGTTTTTTCTATTAGGTTCTTGTGACTATCTCATGATCATTATGATTAATGATGAGATCCAAATGCAAGCCCTTTTAAGATGTATATTAGGTTCATGCGAATCACAAGAACAATGATCTTTCATGTATATTAACTATAATGCCCAAAGTTGATATTGTGTTAAATTAGCATTACAGTTTGTAGGCGGCTCATTTTGATGTGACAAGATTATCTGAAAGGCATTAACTTGGGTTATAGTTGTGAATTTGGCATTAATTTGTAGATTTGGTAATTCTTAATCAAAAGTAGCCATCAAATCTGTCTGGGTGGAGGTGGTGTGGTGGTGGTGGTGGTGGTGGTAGTTGTGTAGTAGTGGTGGTGGCGGTGTGGCGGTGGTGGAGGTGGTGTGGCGGGGTAGAGGTGACATAGCGGTGGGGTGATGGCAGTTTATGGTTAAATATATATTTTTTTCTTTAAGAATGTATCAAATATAGTCATTTCATAATTAATGTCTAATTAAAAAAAATGTTAATTTCCTAAAATAATTATTCTCCCCCGTAATCCTTGGATTAGATCATAATGCTATGAGTAAAAGTGAATATATTGCTCCCTACTCACTAGGGAGCAATTGGACACTACTGGATACACATATACTCTCTCTATTCCAACTTTTTATGGTCCATAATCAATGCAGTTGTTTATAAATAGTTAAAATTATAGTTTAGGAATGTTATAAAAATAGTACATTTAATTTTGAAATATGGCATATATTTTAGGACATTTTAAAATAAAAAGATGAATAATTATTTTAAAACGGAGGGACTATATATGTATATATATATATCTCATCCCTACTCTCACCGTATCCGTCTCTCTCTAAAAGAGTAAAAACAAAAGAAGTAAAAGATTTGTACAAAGGGAAGTACAAGCTATCTTATCCCTACTCTCTCCGTATCTCTGTCTCTCTCTCTCTAAAAGAGTAAAAGCAAAAGAAGTAAACGATTTGTACAAAGGAAGTTTTTAAAGTATAATTATGATCCCTATATATATATATATATATATATATATCTCATCCCTACTCTCACCGTATCCGTCTCTCTCTAAAAGAGTAAAAACAAAAGAAGTAAAAGATTTGTACAAAGGGAAGTACAAGCTATCTTATCCCTACTCTCTCCGTATCTCTCTCCCTCTCTCTCTCTAAAAGAGTAGAAGCAAAAGAAGTAAACGATTTGTACAAAGGAAGTTTTTATAGTATAATTATGATTCCTATAGCATCCAAGTGAGATATATAAGTAAAAGATTTGTAAAAAGGAAGTTTTTAAAGTATAATTATGATTCCTATAGCATCCAAGTGAGATATATAAGTAAAAGATTTGTACAAAGGAAGTTTTTGAAGTATCATTATGATTCCTATAGCATCCAAGAGAAAGACAGATACGAAGAGAGTCGGGATAAGATACCATGTACTGTAGAACGCATTTACATTTTACTTTTGTTTTTAGTAAGACCTGACCGACCATAATAAAAACAAATATAAATATAATGTGTTGAAAATTGTGTTCTTGAAAAATAGATGTAACATATTAAAAAATAAATTTAATGTGTTGAATAGTACGTATAATGTGTTGTACAGTTGTAGTTGCCACGGATGATAGATTTTGGTTGTCAGATAAATTGCGAGAGGAGCTTGTATTTGGCTAAGCTGTGTGTCAAGGAGAAATTATTAGCCGTTTTGAACTATACCAACGTAATAATAGTAAGTAATATTATTAAAAAGATATAATAAATTAAGAGTTGAATTTGATAACTATCGAATTTAATTCTTAAATAAACAAATGCAAGCATTAATTTTGATTGGAGCGAATTACAAAATGTCAAAAGTCAAGAATCACGTTATAATTTTCCTAAGATGAGAGGTCCAATACGATGGACATATGTCCACAGTAAACAACCATATTATTAATTTGATTGATGGAGTAATACTCTCAAAAGAATTCTTTCATGAACTCTCTCTATTTTAACATGTATATTCCGAGTAGCATTTTCACCCCTATTTCAAAAAGTGTACTAATAATCCTTTTATTCTTTAAACTTTGTGCGGAAACACCCCTTAAACATAAATATGACATAAAGTATTTATAAAATAACCGTTTTACCCTTTAACTCTTTCAAAAAATTTCAGGAGAGTATGTATGCTAATAATCTCATAGTAGAGGGATGTTATATACTCTTATGTGCACATTAATTATATTTAATCTACTATTAAGCATTTTCTCTCACCTTTAATAAAAAAAAAAGTTAAAATTTCTTTACATATTTACGCTCACAATGTATTAACTCTCTATCAATGTATTATCTCTCTCTCAGTTGAAAGCTTTACATTTTTAGGATTTAATGGCTAATACCAGTCATAAGTTAAAAAGTTCTAATATATAAATTTGAGATAAATAAATATATATATATATATATATATATATATATATATATATATATATATATATTTGTTTGTTTTCATACTTGTCAGATTAATGTAGAGTTGTACATCATATGGAATGAAAATCTATGCTCTTTTTATCATTATTTTTTTAAAAAATATTTCTATTAAAATTTAATATGATTTTTATTTTTCTTTAAATATATAATTTAAAAATTAAGTTAAAGGTACTTATTCAATATATATATATATATATGTATAATACAGAATTTCTAATAAATTTTCATAAATATATATATTATTTTTTAGAGCATCTCCAATGCTAAAAGCTAAATTCGGATGCCAAATCTATATTTTGACATGTGCTACAGTGTCAAAATGCTACAATTTAGTAATTCTGCTCCAATGGTTCAAAATCCTATTTTTTGACACTACCACCATTCTTTTTCAACTACCATTCCTACCATTCATATTTGCATCAATAATATTAATATTAGGCACATTCCAAGTCAAGTTGTAAATATTAGAAAGAAGCTAAAATTAAATTTAATTAAAAATGAGCAAAAATCTAAAATATCAGGTCAAAAAAGGAACCAAAAAAAAAAAAAAAAAACAAATTTTTTATAATTTTTTTACAACTATTTGTGAATTAATTTTTTTTTCTTTATATATATGTGTGTGTGTGTGTGTGTATTATATATATTTGATTATATAATTATTAAAAATAAATATATGTTTAGGGTAAATCATATCAGCCTCCCCAATCGCCTCTATCTCATTCTCAACTCTGAGAACTTGCCCTTTCTCTCTCTCTCTGCAACTGCAATACAAAATCTACAAGAATCAGAAGTTCAAAACCCATATATTTCAGTTAATTTTACCACCCCATCCCACCAATAGGCTAAGAAGACCTGAGGAATCTACTACTGCAGGTGTCTTCATGGGATCTGAACCCTCAGTGCCGGTATTTGGATTATTTTCATTTCCTCTTTCAAGGCTGACAATTGGAGCTGCTGAGCCAATGGAATCTATCTGTCTGCAAGAATCCAAAGTTCAAAATCTATTACCTATATCAAAACCTATATCGGCGTTACTATTTCATCATATTCATCCGATCTCCGGTCGTTGCCGCCCTCTTCACCGGAGCTCATGCCACAACCCAGAACCACGGCGACAGCGAAGGGAGCCACGATTGGACCACCCAGAACCACGGCTGAGCAGCATCTTGGAGTCCTCCAGTGGGCCTAGATCGTTGAATCCGCCGCAGAAGTTCAGAATCCGGCAACAGCAGAAGTCACAATCGGTTGTTGCAGATGAAAGGGAGAGAGAGACGACAGAGATAGCGATATTGAGGGACAGAGAATTGAGGGAGATAGGAAGACGTTGCAGATGAGAAGGAAAGGGTTGTTGCAGATGAGAGGAAAATGGTTGTTGTAGATGAGAGGAAGAAACGGCGTCGTAGGCCATTAAATAGACTTGCCAAAAAAATTTGGCAGCTCTTACATTCAAGAGAGAAAAATGAGATTTTCAAATTTTGAGAGGCCAAATGAAAGGCCATTGGAGAACCTATTTTTTACTCATCTCTCAAATTATAAGTTTGAGAGCGCAAAATGAAAGAGCATTGGAGATGCTCTTACATAACAACAAATGAGCGTTCAAATTCAAAATATGCGCATCACACCCCTTGTGTCTATTTTTGTCATTTTACACAATAAGTATTTTAAAATAATATGTAAAATGAGTATATAAGGGTAATTTAGTCAAACTATAATTTAAATGTGTCAGGAGGAACTTATTTGCATAAATTGAAAACTTTAGGGGTGTTTTCTGTACGTAAGAGGTGCAATACGCACTATAAGCATTAAATAAGCCCATTGAAACTTACCCCCAACTAACACTATATTTTTAGGGATAATTTCATAAAAATGGTGTTTTGGTGATCAAATGCCAAAAAGGTGGAGTTAAATTTAAGTTTTCCAAATTAATGGAGATTTATGAAATGATGACATTGGCATGGAAAGTTATTATAATTTTTTTTTTTTTTAATTCCTAAACTTCCCTATTGCTAAATCACCTAACTACCATATTGCAAAATTACCTAACTACCCATTCAATTGATTGCGCCCTCTCTCTTCACCTCTCTTTTATCACTTTAGGTTTTCTTATTAAGTTGTTGTTGATGCCTCTCTGCCTCGCCATTGACTCAGTCGAAGAAGAGAAAAATCTGCTACCAACGAATACTAACTCCGGCCATTACTAGATAACACCGGCAATAAGTTACTCCGACGACACTTCTCAAGTTCACATGTAGGTGGTTTCTGATGCTACTGGATTGTTGATTTTGCCGTAGAGCACTTCAAGCTGTCGGAAGAATCTGTAGTGTCTCCCAACCTTCCCTTCCTTAGTCTTCTTGTAATACTTGTATAAGTTCTCAAACTTCTCTTTGCATTTCTTCCCATTCCTCTGACACCCATGTTCCTCGGACATTATCCCGTAAGTAGAAATAAAAGGATTTAAAAAAAAAAAAATTATAGGAATAGAACTATTGATGAAGAGAATTAATACAAAAAAATAAATTAATTAAAAGATCCTAGTTTGAGCTAAAAAATGAAGATAATATTTGTCATATGTATAAGCCAAAAAAGTTCATATGATAATGATCTTTGCTAGTACTACTAGTATATAATGGTTGTGACGAATTTTCTTGAATGGTTGTTATGCTATTTAATTACATGAAACTGACTATTTGATGATTTCATTATAGTTTGTCTTACTAATTTCATTACTTTTTATTTTTATTTTTTATTCTTCCTATTTGTGTTCTGGTCCTATTTTTAAGGTTTTTTCATGTAGTTTATTTGTTGAATAAAAACCAGACATTCAGAAAAAAAAAAAAAAAAAAAAAAAAAATTAAATAAAATTAAATAAAATCAAAGAGACAGTGATATGTAATAGCAAGATATAGATGTAGTCAATTAGTAAAGTTGGTAAGGGGTAGTAGTATAATTTCACAACAATAATAAGATGGGCAATTTGGAAATGTAGTCGATTAGTAAAATTGGTTAGGGACAGTAATATAATTTCACAATAATAATAGAATAGGCAATTTGGTAATCAAAAGAAAATCTACAATAAATTTTCATGTCCAAGTCAGCATTTGAAAAAACTCCATTAATTTGAAAAACTTGAATCCACTTTTTTGGACAACTTGAATTTGACTCCACTTTTTTGGAATTTGACCACCAAAACATCATTTTTATGGAATTATCCAATATTTTTATTTCAAAGGTTTTTTGTCCCATATTTTTATTCCAAAGGTTTTTATTTCAAAGTGAGGTGATAGTCATACTCCACTTCTTTATACATACACTACTCTGAAAAGGAAATGACACTTATATCCTTAATTTTATAAATAAATAATATTTTTTTGTTCAAATGCCACAACTACCCTTTCAATTATGAAAATATATCTTCAACTCCCCCTCTCTCTTTCCAATTAACATTTTGAGTCACTTCAACCTCTATCAATTCTTTCTCTACTTTGTGTTTGTGAAAGAAAAAAAATTGCAAAAAGTAAATGAAAGTGAGGAAATATTTGAAAACAAAACTCAAATCATATTGTCGATTTGATAGTGAGAAGAAAAAAAAAAAAAAAAATGCTTTAGACTATATCCAAGGAAAGCATATATCCTTAAAAAATTTAATTAAAAATAATAGCCTAACAGGGGATGAAAAAACCAAAATCATGAGGGAAAAAAAGGAAGAAAGAGAGATAGAGAGGACAAGGTTCTACGGAGGACCCTTAAAAAAAAAAAAAAAAAAAAAAAAAAAAAAAAAGGGCCTTACAAAAAGAAAAAGAAAAAGAAAAAGAAAAAGGAGCATTAGAGTAAGTAAAGTAGGTAAAATAAAGAAGGTTATAAAGCAAAAGGTAGTTAAGGCCATAACAAAATAAGAGACAATATCAATTAACATATCTAATTTTTATTTAATTTTAAAACTCTACTATTCTATTTCAGGTTTGCAATCTTATTGTAATTAAAATAGCCATGCACCAAATATTATTTTCTAACGAAAATAATTCTGCAATCTTTTACTCACCCACTAGCTAATTAATTAATATAAACTAGCTAATTAATTCCGACTCACCTCAAACGTACAGAAGAAAACAAAGTATTGTTGGTATCTATTGCAGGCCATATGTGTTAAGATCAACGCAAATTTTGTCTTTTAATATTACAAGGTCGATCACTTCAAGGGGTATGTTAAATATTTCTACTATGATTTATTGTTCTAATACTTTATAAATAAGTTTTATGTGCTTTTCTACTTTATTATTTTATGAAATAAAAAACCAACAAATTAACTGGCTCTTACAATGAAAAATAAGTGAATGCAACTAACTTGCAATTTGTTAAATTTGAAAAAAGTAATAATAATAAATAAATTAAATAATTGGGACAGTACTAACTACTAACTCAGATCAGCTCAAAAATTGGATTTAGCTTAGAACCCCCATTCTAACCATGAAATGTAACGGACATGGGTCTGTAACATGGAAAATTGGGCAAGGTAGTTCATATCACAAGTTTTTAAACATTTAAATTTTTAACCTTCGAATTATTGATTCAAAGGCTATGGCAAGTTTACAACATAATTTTAACTCCGAATTATCTAATTTACAAATTTTGAATATAAAAAAGTAAAAAACTTGTAAGTATGATAATTCACTTTTAATAAGTAATAATTGATAATCATTCTTTACTACAAACTAGTAGGGTTGCAAGTTGGGCTGGCCCAACCCAGTCCGGTGCCAACCCAACTTAATCCGGATCCAACCCGAATTGTACCTAATATGGGTTATGGTCAAAACTCAGCCCAAATATTTTCGGGTGAGCCGAGTCAGGTTGACGGGTTGAGATTTTTTTTTTTAACTATTTTTTTTTTTTTGGAATTTATATACTACGTATAATATATATATATATTTGATTATATTATTATTAAAAAAAAAACAAAATACTTTTTAGGGCAAATCATTCCAGCCTCCCAATCGCCTCCATCTCTATTCTCTTTGACCCTCTCTCTCTCTCTCTCTCTCTGTGCAACTGCAAACTACAAAATCTATAAGAATTAGAAGTTCAAAACTCATATGTTTCAGTTTTATCTATCTGTCTTTAAGAATCAAAAGTTCAAAACCCATATTGGCATATCATTTCAGATTGTTCAAAAAATCAAAACCCATATCTTTCAGTTTCCATCGCCCGTTGTTCTAGTTCGGGTTCGCCGTTTGCAAGCTTCAGCCGCTGTCTCTCAACTTTCAAGTTTGCCCCCCCCCCCCCCCCTCTCTCTCTTTGCAACTGCTAACTTGTATGTATGGGTTTTGTTTTAATTTTTTTTTTTTTTTCTAAATCAATTTATCAAGGTCTGTAAGACTGTAATTCTTGTTTTACAAATCAATTAATCTTGGTCTGTAAGAGGGGCAGCGGTGGCAGCAATGGCAGCAGAGGGGACGGCGGAGAGAGAGAGAGAAAGAGAAAGAAGAGAGAGGAGAAAAATATATATATAATTTATTTATTTATTTATTTTTTAATTTGGGTTTTGGGTTGGGTTCGGGTTGAGCCCAGCCCAACCCGAATATGTTTGGATTTTGACAAAATCCAACCCGAAATTTGAATCCGATTTGTGAGTTTAAAACTCGAATTTCAAATTTTTTGAGTTGGGCTAGATTAGCCCGCCCAAGTTGCAGCCCTACTATAAAGACTTTTTTTTCTCTCTTCTCTCTCTACCTTTTTTGCCGCCCTTCAACTTCGTCTTCCCCATTTGTTTTTCTCCCTGATCCTTTCCCATGAGGGTGGGGAGGTGTTGTTTCTTACCTCCTACAGGGTAAAAAAACTCGCCATATAATAATAAGTTCATTATGTGGGTGGTTTTCACGCCTTTTTTGCTTTTGTTTTGTTCAATCTGCTCCTGTTTAACTTGTTTCCGGCTCAATTGGGTAGATCTGTTGTTTTCTCTCCGGCTAGATCCCAGATTTATGTTGGTTTTTGTTGTCCCTGACTTGATTTTTTCTTATGCGGGGTTTGGTGGTTTTTCCCCCGGTCAGATTCGCCTTGTGGATGTAGCTTTGGAGCTGTTGCCTTGTGATGATCTGATTTTTGGGTCACTCCTGTTACTGCTCTTCTCCCTTGGTGGTTTCCATTGTTGAGCGGTGACTCTTTCTCAACAAATCTAGAGTTTGTTCTTCATTTTTTTTATTTTGCTTCATGATTTATTTGCTTTTTCTGATTTAGTTTTGTTGCATCTGTACATCCTTTTATGAATATGTTGTGTAGATGCCGTATAACTATTTTCTTATTCTCAGGTTAAAAATAATAATAATAAATAAATACCACAAAGACTTAAATGGTCCCACCCCTGGTAAATACGTAGTAATCCGTAAATGGAACCACTCACTAGGTGGGCTAAATGGGATATTGGGCCGATTGGTCTTAGAATTTACTTCTTCACATGTTTTGATGACAGAGTATTGGCAGCCTATTACCCCATATTTGTAGGACCCATCCCAACTGCATAGCAGAATCTAAACAATTTGTGGGTTGGATCAAGGACCCAATTGTAACTTTAAAATGGTTAGCAACTCGGCCTAGCTTGCTTACGGGAAGGTGAGCATGTGGTCTTTGGCTTTAATAAGTGTTGAATACAATTATGCAGCATTTCTTTTTATATTTTCAATACAATTATTTTTCTTTTATTCGCGTAAATAACTTAAAAAACTGATAAGCAGTAAATAAGCCATGTTTATTGAAGTCTGAAAGCTCGTGTTGTCAATAAATTAAAACATGAAGTTACAGAGTGAAGTTCTACGTGATACTATTGAAGTCACCCATATAATTAAAACATTGTAGTTATCTAATGACCCATAAATAAAAAAATCATTAAGACAGAGTATACTTATTCTGTAAGAATATCCAATCTTTATTTTAATTCTATAATGAATATGTAATTAACATCTTTCTACACATATGGGAGATAAGTTGGGTGTTGCCGTGTTGGAATGAGAATTCGAGAAAAGATTGTGTTATATACGTTAGGAGTAAGACTTGGATGGAACTAACTCAAGCAACTCTACTTTCGTTAGAAAGTTTTATGGGCATGAATAAAATACACAAGATTAGTACTATTGAATGGGACTGAGTTTAAACTTTAGAATTCGAATTTTTTTTTTATATTAGATAAAGATTCAAGAAAAGATTGTGTTATATGTGTTAGGAGTAAGACTTGGATGAATTAACTCGAGCAACTCTATTTTCGTTAGAAAGTTTTACGAATAAGGTACATGAGACCAGTACTATTGAGTGGAACTGAATTTAAACTTTAGAATTCCAATTTTTTTTATACTAGATAAAGATTTTAGTAACTGGAAAACCTAAAAACTTAAATAACCAGAAGTATAAGAATAATTTATA